GGGCCGGGGGACGTGGAACGGGTCGGCGTTTGAAAATTGCCGACCGTAGAGGGAGGGGCCCGGAAGCATAGTCAGAGGAGAGCGAAGGTCTGATAAATCGAAGGAGTCAGTCGAGGCCTCAGTACCTGAAGCGGGTGAGGAAACAGCACCGGCAATAGGTACAGAGGCATGAGGAATGTCTGAAGAGTGGTCCAAAGACGAGGCGGGGTCAGAACGGGGTGCGGTATCAAGAAGGGGCCCGGGGGTACCAGGTTCATGGACTAGGGCTGCCATGGTTAGGTTACTTCTTTCTTTTTGTTTTTAAGAAAAAAAAAGAAAGAAGAAAAGAAAATAAAAATAAAAAAAAAGAAAAAAAAAGGGGGGACCGGGGAGGGATAGTTCCTAGGAGGGATGAAAGGGCCAGAAATCTCCCTCCGCGCCCAAGAGGACTCGACACCGCTAGTAGCGCAGATGCAGCATGGAACCCGTGCCATACCCTACCCTTCATGCCAGTAAACCAGCAATCTGGGATAGCAACCTCACATCTGCCGAGCTACCTCGGTGGACAAAAGAGAGGGCGGCCGGATATCCGCCACAAAGCATACCTCCTTCAGCCACCACCCCCGGAATCCGAAAGGTGGCTTCCAGAGCTACACCCGTCGCCCAAAAGACACCCAAAGCTACTCCGGGATACCGGAGAGGGATCGGGACATCCCTAGGCAATCCAGATTCCACGGCAAACTACGCCACCGCCAAGAAACCTCAACGGAATGGGATGGACCCCGGTGTCCTTTCTCCTACCTAGGAACTAGCGCGCCTGTGGGAGAAATCCCAAAGGACAAAAAGAGGAAGGGCAAAAGGGAGGAGTGGGGAGGAGGAGGAGGAAAGGAAAAAGGGGAGGATGGGGAGGATGGGATAGGGGAGGGGAGATTGGGGGGTAATTAGGTTCGGTCTGAGGAAGAAGACCGATAGGTCTAATTCCTCAGACCAAGAGCCTCTTCACCACGCCAAGGAGCCCCCCTTGAAGAGGACAGCATTTCTAAGCTCAAATCTTATAGATTAGCCAATTATGTTAGCACTGTATACAAGATCCATATAAATATATTTCTCACTTTATCCTTGTCATTATTGCTATTCTGTTTGCCAAAATTACTTTTCAAATATTCTAAGTCCCTTTGATTTTTTCTGTCATTTTTTTTTTCACCACTCTGGCCATCTTTATTTTCTCAATTAAGTTCAGATGTGTTTCTGACAGATCTCTGATGGTAGTAATGACCTTTTAGTACAGATTTTGAATTTTCTTAATTCTTTGCACTCCTTCAGCAATTCTGCTATTTGTTAACCATCCATCATCCTCCCCTCAGCACTCCATATCTATTCTTTATTAATCTCCTGAAATTATTCAGTAATTCCTATTGAACAACTCTGATAAGTTTCTAATCAGCTACTCTAACAGAGAAGCAAAATCTGTCTGAAAATGCTTTAATGTGTAGGGATTTTGTGAAGGCTTAATTAACATTTGCTAGTAGTAGTGCTAGGATAGGTTGAATAAACCGAGTGAAGATCTTCAAGATTGACCACCTGAGTATATCTGTGTCAATAATACTGATATCTCTTTTTACATTTAAAATGTACAGGATTTTTTTTTGCCAAGTAAGTATTTTTTAATGTCGAATATAATTCAACACCTTAATTGTTAAGATGAAGCATGAATGCTATATATCCCTGATCTATTCAGTCAAATATTAATGACTGAAATATAAACTATGCCATCAACATTTTATAAACTGAATAAAATCAATGGAAGGTTTTCTTTGTCCCAGATCAGAGGTACAGTAGTCTGATTTTTTTACAGCAAAAAATATCAAAAAACACAATTGTGCCACACAAGGGCTACAGGTTATGTAGTTTTGCTATAAATGTATGCCTAAGAAAGCTGCATACCCTTCTGGCCATAACGTAATAGCTGCAGTAACGAAACGAGAGGAAAAAAAGGAAGGTAGAGAGACGGCCGATTTGTTGAAAAAAAAAAAAAAAATTAATAGAATGTGGGGCAGAAGTTTGTGGTTATAGGAGGGTGGGTGAAAGAGGAATGAGAAGTGATTGGTGGAATGATGAAGTAAAGGGTGTGATAAAAGAGAAAAATGTAGCTTATGAGAGGATTTTTAGAAAACAGAAGTATTATAAGAAAGTTAGAGTATATGGAGAGTAAAAGAAAGGTAAAGAGAGTGGTGAGAGAGTGCAAAAGGAGAGCGGATGATAGAGTGGGAGAGGTACTGTCAAGAAATTTTAATGAAAATAAGAAAAAAATTTGGAGCGAGTTAAACAAGTTAAGAAAGCCTAGGGAACAAATGGATTTGTCAGTTAAAAACAGTAGGGGAGTTAGCAGAAGGGGAGATGGAGGTTTTGGGTAGATGGCGAGAATATTTTGAGGAACTTCTAAATATCGACAAAGGGAGATGGTAATTTCATGCACTGGCCAGAGAGGTATACCATCTTTTAGGAGTGAAGAAGAGCAGGATGGGAGTGTGGGGGAGGTGCGTGAGGCATTAAGTAGAATGAAAAGGGGTAAAGCAGCTGGAACTGACAGGATCATGACAGAAATGTTAAAAGCAGGTGGGGACAGTGTTGGAGTGGTTGGTATTTTTGTTTAATAAATGTATGAAAGAGGGGAAGGTACCTAGGGATTGGCAGAGAGCCTGTATAGTCCCTTTATATAAAGGGAAGGGGGACAAAAAAGATTGTAAAAATTATAGAGTAGTAAGTTTACTGAGTATACCAGGAAAAGTGTACGGTAGGGTTATTATTGAAAGAATTAGAGGTAAGACAGAATGTAGAATTGCGGATGAGCAAGGAAGTTTCAGAGTGGGTAGGGGATGTGTAGATCAAGTGTTTACATTGAAGCATATATCTTTCTTTCTTTCAACACACCGGCCGTATCCCACCGAGGCGGGGTGGCCCAAAAGGAAAAACGAAAGTTTCTCCTTTTACATTTAGTAATATATACAGGAGAAGAGGTTACTAGCCCCTTGCTCCCGGCATTTTAGTTGCCTCTTACAACACGCATGGCTTACGGAGGAAGAATTCTGTTCCACTTCCCCATGGAGATAAGAGGAAATAAACAAGAATAAGAACTAGAAAGAAAATAGAAGAAAACCCAGAGGGGTGTGTATATATGTGCTTGTACATGTATGTGTAGTGTGACCTAAGTGTAAGTAGAAGTAGCAAGACGTACCTGAAATCTTGCATGTTCATGAGACAGAAAAAAGGACACCAGCAATCCTACCATCATGTAAAACAATTACAGGCTTTCGTTTTACACTCACTTGGCAGGACGGTAGTACCTCCCTGGGCGGTTGCTGTCTACCAACCTACTACCTATTGAAGCATATATGTGAGCAGCATTTAGATAAAGGTAGGGAAGTTTTTATTGCATTTATGGATTTAGAAAAGGCATATGATAGAGTGGAGAGGGAAGCAATGTGGCAGATGTTGCAAGTAGTATATGGAATAGGTGGTAAGTTACTAAATGCTGTAAAGAGTTTTTATGAGGATAGTGAGGCTCAGGTTAGGGTGTGTAGAAGAGAGGGAGACTACTTCCCGGTAAAAGTAGGTCTTAGACAGGGATGTGTAATGCCACCATGATTGTTTAATATATTTATAGATGGGGTTGTAAGAGAAGTGAATGCTAGGGTGTTCGGGAGAGGGGTGGGATTAAATTATGGGGAATTAAATACAAAAAGGGAAGTGACACAGTTACTTTTTGCTGATGATACTGTGATTATGGGAGATTCTAAAGAAAAATTGCAAAGGTTAGTGGACGAATTTGGGAGTGTGTGTAAAGGTAGAAAGTCGAAAGTGAACATAGAAAAGAGTAAGGTGATGAGAGTATCAAATGATTTAGATAAAGAAAAATTGGATATCAAACTGGGGAGGAGTAGTATGGAAGAAGTGAACGTTTTCAGATATTGGGGAGTCGACGTGTCAGCGGATAGATTTATGAAGGATGAGGTTAATCATAGAATTGATGAAGGAAAAAAGGTGAGTGGTGCATTGAGGTAGTATATGTGGAGGCAAAAAATGTTATCTATGGAGGCAAAGAAGGGAATGTATGAAAGTATAGTAGTACCAACACTCTTATATTGGTGTGAAGCCTGGGCTGTAAATGCTGCAGCGAGGAGGCAGTTGAAGGCAGTGGAGATGTCCTGTCTAAGGGCAATGGGTGGTGTAAATATTATGCAGAAAATTCGGAGTGTGGAAATTAGGAGAAGGTGTGGAGTTAATAAAAGTATTAGTCAGAGGGCTGAAGAGGGTTTGTTGAGGTGGTTTGGTCATTTAGAGAGAATGGATCAAAGTAGAATGACATGGAGAGCGTATAAATCTGCAGGGGAAGGAAGGCGGGGTAGGGGTCGTCCTCGAAAAGGTTGGAGGGAGGGGGTAAAGGTGGTGTTGTGGGCGAGGGGTTTGGATTTCCAGCAAGCGTGCGTGAACATGTTAGATAGGAGTGAATGGAGACGAATGGTATTTGGGACCTGACGATCTGTTGGAGTGAGAGCAGGGTAATATTTAGTGAAGGGATTCAGGGAAACCGGTTATTTTATATAACCGGACTTGAGTCCTGGAAATGGGAAGTACAATGCCTGCACTCTAAAGGAGGGGTTTGGGATATTGGCAGTTTGGAGGGATATACTGTGTATTTTTGATAAGTATATACTTCTGAACTGTTGTATTCTGGGCACCTCTGCAAAAACAGTGATTATGTGTCAGTGAGGTGAAAGTGTTGAATGATGATGAAAGTATTTTCTTTTTGGGGATTTTCTTTCTTTTTGGGACACCCTGCCTCGGTGGGAGATGGCCGACTTGTTAAAAAAAAAAAAAAAATTAATAGGAATGAAAAACAAGAATAAAAACTGGAAATTTAGTCTTGTAATTATACTGTGAATTTTGTGAAAAACATGTCAAGACTCCAGAGTAGGCTCTTGTGTAATGTAAAATGAATTATAAAAAAGATCAATTATCACTACACAAATATTTCTAATCCATATAAGGCAGAAAACAAATTTTGATAGTTTTAAGGCAGATAATTGTCTTAGAAGCACAAAACTTGAAAAGGTTAAATATACTTAAATATACAGAATATAGATACTTCAAGTAAAAAAATAATGGTCCTTGTCTCCTCTAACTCAATTAATATGCTGAAAATTTAAAATAAATGTAACTCAGCAGATGGAGAATTTTTATGGCCCTCTAAGGTGCAAGGGCATATCTCGGGTTCAAGGATCAATCTCTCCATTGCACTTTAATGAAGGGTTTGTGTACTGATTGAGTTTCTCCTTTTTTTTTTCAGTAAGACAAACCAATGATGATACAGGATAAAACAAGCAGTTTCTTTTTCTTAAATCAAGTGAATACTGGGAAAACATGAAACAGTAAGAATCTATGATATGAACTGGAGAATTGTATATTTTTCTAAGAAATGAACATTTTTGAATGGCACTTTAACATTGTTTATGGTTTTCAATTTGTAAATTAACTGAAAAATAACTGGAGGACTAACAAACTTACACTAAACATTGACAAAACCTACTTCATTCAGTTTGGTAACAGAGCTACAGATGTACCTCTTAACATAACAATAAACGGATCACCTATCACAAAGCTAACAGAGGGAAAATTCCTAGGAATCCACCTCGATAATAGACTCAAATTTCATATACATATACAACAAATTTTTAAGAAAATCTCCAAGACTGTAGGCATACTATCGAAGATACGGTACTATGTTCCCCCAGTCAGCCCTCCTGGCCCTTTATCACTTCTTTTTTTACCCTATCTCACCTATGGAATTTGTGCATGGGGCTCAACAACAATTAACCATCTCAGACCACTAATTACCAACAAAAGGCTGCAGTTAGAATGATAACAAATTCTCACTACAGGCAACACACTCCACCAATATTCAAAACACTCAACCTACTCACCATACAAAACATCCATACTTATTATTGCACCTATTACATACATAAAACACTTAACTCTGATATTAACCCTCCCTCAAACATCTCCTTGCCAACCTCAACAGAACACATGACCATAACACAAGGCACAGATCACTCTTTGATGTTCCTCGTGTACATCTCACGCTATGCAAAAACTCAATGCACATAAAAGGCCCTAAAATCTGAAATTCATTACCTGTAAATATAAAGAAACACTACCTGTTTATAATTCAAGTCTCTTCTCAAAAATCACTTACTCACTCAAAACCAAATAAATACTGAATAACTGAACCTTATAAATTGTATATCCTATATGTTACTCACAATTATATCACACAAATGTTAAACCTAGGACCCAATCTATCTTTATTATTTTTTTAAATACACTACCTAACAGAATACTCCATTCGACTGAATGTACAGCAATGCAAGCAACCATATGACCTGTCTTTGTAATACTCATTTGTGCTTTATAGTTATCTGTTTACAATAATGTTTTATCACTGATTTCATCATTGCTTAGTTAATCTTAAGTTAATTTTAAGCCAGCCCGTAATGCTATGCATATAAGTGGCTTTGGCATGCTGCTCTTACCTGTATTTTTTGTACCTCTGTTTGTATGCTTAAATTACTAAATAAATAAATAAAATAAATAAAGTTATTATTCACCTAAACTTTCAAGAACAATGTGGGTTAAATTACAACAGATCAAGAGATTAAAACTAATAGTAGAGAGTCAGAGAGGCTAGCAAAGAAGAATGGGAAAAAAAAAAAAAAAAAAAAAAAAATCAGAATAATATACAGTGGTAAACTTGAGTTATAAACTTAATTCGTTCCAGAAGGCTGTTCGAGTGCTGATTACGAACGAATTTTGTTCCCAAAAAGAATAATGTAAATTAAATTAGTCCATTTCAGACCTCCAAAAATACACTTACAAAAGCACTCACAAAAATACACTTACATAATTGTTCAAGTTGGGAGCCGTTCAAAACTAGAGGTACCACTGTACTTGTATATGCTAGTTGTTAGGAAGGTGAATCAAGGTAGAATGAAATAGGAAGGCTAAAAGAGATTTTACACAGTTCCTGAATAGGTAAGTATATGATTAAAGGAGAGATGTGTTCGCTGCAGTAATATAAAGGCTTTGCTATAAAAACCTACATACTGTATTAGCATTATACAAATGCATGGGATAATGGACTTGATTAATCTTGTTTAATTTAGAAAATTATTAGATAAATGGAAATTTAATTTCTTTTCTTTCAGGCTTTTAGTTAGAGATATATGAAGAATTTTAATTTATCTTTAGTTAGTGATATGAAGAATTTTAATTTATCTCTACCGAACAAAAGCACGAGACGAGACAAGGTTGTTCATCTACGAAACTGTTCCATGTCTGTAAAATTTTATAAGTCAGCCATTCATGAGCCTCAAGTCACTATTAAGTTAAATTAGATGTACTGTAATCAGCTTCCATTTTTGTTAAATATTTACAACAAACATAAGGGATTACCTGTGAAAATTGAGAATATTATTGTATTATATTTACAGGAAGTTAGTGTTATCAAAGGGATTGAAAGTGAACTGTTAACAATGACAAGACTGTGAAGAGGTAGCCAGATCTTGAGTGGTTAATGCTTTCTTTAGGTGGTTAACCTCAACAATTTGTAAGTCTAAGTGTTAAGGTACATGTGCAGGATAAGTAAAATAAATGTTAACTGTACATAGGCTGCTTTGGGTTTGGAAGAGTGCTCGAGATGTGCCAGGTTGAGCAGCAGGAAATTTTAAAAAATAAAAACTATTTTACACAAAAGCACATTTAACAGTTTAAGGAAAAGGGTAAGCAGCACACAAGGTGAGGGTGGAAAGTCAGAGCCAGGTACTAGGGTGGCATCAGACTCACTTGGCGCAATTGTGTCCCGGAGTGAGGGTGGGTTCACTTGCTGTTCATCTGTTATAAGGTGGTACATATAGTGTAACAATTAGTTCAAAGAAGCATTACACAAAAACTTGGCTACAACATTTAAAAAGTTGTCATCCACTTAAAGTCTCAGGTGTAATTAGTTTAACAAAATAATCTTAACAGTTAATATTGAAAAATAAAAAGATTGTTAAGCAACAAATGTTATAATCTAATTTGAATTTATTTCAACTAAAAATTAGACTTTAATGGAGGGCATTAGAAAAAAAAATACAATGAACATAATGCATTTCAACAGTTCCTAAAAACATAAGATTCTAATAAACAAAAAGTATTACATGTACTATGTAAGAAGTTGGTCTTCTGGGCACCAACCTGTATAAGTCCTCAACAAATAAATGCTGATCTCTTTAAACCAGCTAACTAATTAATATTTAAAAAACACCATTATAGAAATTAGTAAACAAAATATGACACTTACTAGTACTGTCAGCTGTTGCTGTAATGCCTTATATGCATAGTTTTGCCATTTATGTGAGAGATGGTAAAGTAAATAGTTGGAAATGAAGATAATATTAAGGTTCAAAATGCCTCTTATGAACAGAGAAGTCAAACCTTATTTATCTGATGCCTTAGAAACTACCGTAACATTAAAATTCACTGCTTCCTACCCATGCACCTATAACCATAAAAATTATCATCCAGTCAACATCCTCTTGATCTGAAATCTACATTTTCAAGATAATTTTGCATACATTTCAGTAATGCCTGATCAGGATTTTAATTCTACACCTCTAGTACCAGCTGGTGATTGCAGTAGGGTAAATTAGTCATATAAAATATGTTAAAAAAATGACAAGTGCAGAAAGTAATGCAGGTGATGGAAAACCAAGTTAAATAAAGATGAAGAATGTGCTGTGTAATGCAAAAAACTTGCACTGGATTTATGCAATGCAGACAACACATCTTTATATGGGAGATGGGTGCCATAAATTTATCTAGTTTAGAAACGAAATGTTGTTTACCTCTATAAATGAAAGTTCTTCTGTTTTTCAGTCTTTTTGTCAATACTTTCCAGCCATTGACACACATGTTTCTTACAGTACAGAGAAATCTATATCCGAGATGAAGGAACCCACAGAGTTTAAATGTGGGCTAGTGAAGCTGGCACACAAAAGTGCAAATTACACTACTTGTCAATGTCATAATTACTTGTCCATGTGTGTTTAAGGGAGTTAGAGTCTCCACTTAATTACTGGCTCAGCAAGCAGGCTTGGATTACATAAACTGCCAAAGACTGGTATGAAAACCTCTGTGACCCTGAGGACAAGGAAAACTGCCAGAAAGTCAGGAACCCTACAAGCTACACAACTGTGTTATTGGATAAAAAAAAAAGTGTTCTGTTCATCAGGCTTCTGAAACATTTGTTACATCCAATGTTTTTGTTATTTACAATTGTACATTGTGTATCATACATATACATACATACACACATATACACATTCATACATCTGTGTGTGTGTGTGTGTTGTGTGTGTGTGTGTGTGTGTGTGTGTGTGTGTGTGTGTGTGTTGTGTGTGTGTGTGTGTGTGTGTGTGTGTGTGTGTGTGTGTTTTTGTTTACACTGAAGCATATATGTGAACAGTATTTAGATAAAGGTAGGGAAGTTTTTATTGCATTTATGGATTTAGAAATGGCATATGACAGAGTGGATAGGGGAGCAATGTGGCAGATGTTGCAAGTATATGGAATAGGTGGTAAGTTACTAAATGTTGTAAAGAGTTTTTATGAGGATAGTGAGGCTCAGGTTAGGGTGTGTAGAAGAGAGGGAGACTGCTTCCCGGTAAAAGTAGGTCTTAGACAGGGATGTGTAATGTCACCATGGTTGTTTAATATATTTATAGATGGGGTTGTAAAAGAAGTAAATGCTAGGGTGTTCGGGAGAGGGGTGGGATTAAATTATGGGGAATCAAATACAAAATGGGAATTGACACAGTTACTTTTTGCTGATGATACTGTGCTTTTGGGAGATCTAAAGAAAAATTGCAAAGGTTAGTGGATGAGTTTGGGAGTGTGTGTAAAGGTAGAAAGTTGAAAGTGAACATAGAAAAGAGTAAGGTGATGAGGGTATCAAATGATTTAGATAAAGAAAAATTGGATATCAAATTGGGGAGGAGGAGTATGGAAGAAGTGAATGTTTTCAGAAATTTGGGAGTTGACATGTCAGCAGATGGATTTATGAAGGATGAGGTTAATCATAGAACTGATGAAGAAAAAAAGGTGAGTGGTGCATTGAGGTATATGTGGAGTCAAAAAATGTTATCTATGGAGGCAAAGAAGGGAATGTATGAAAGTATAGTAGTACCAACACTCTTATATGGGTGTGAAGCTTGGGTTGTGAATGCAGCAGCAAGGAGGCAGTTGGAAGCAGTGGAGATGTCCTGTCTAAGGGCAATGGGTGGTGTAAATATTATGCAGAAAATTCGGAGTGTGGAAATTAGGAGAAGGTGTGGAGTTAATAAAAGTATTAGTCAGAGGGCTGTAGAGGGGTTGTTGAGGTGGTTTGGTCATTTAGAGAGAATGGATCAAAGTAGAATGACATGGAAAGCATTTAAATCTGTAGGAGAAGGAAGGCGGAGTAGGGGTCATCCTCAAAAAGGTTGGAAGGAAGGGGTAAGGGAGGTTTTGTGGGCAATGGGCTTGGATTTCCAGCAGGCGTGCATGAGCGTGTTCAATAGGAGTGAATGGAGACGAATGGTATTTGGGACCTGACGATCTGTTGGAGTGTGAGCAGGGTAATATTTAGTGAAGGGATTCAGGGAAACTGGTTATTTTATATAACCGGACTTGAGTCCTGGAAATAGGAAGTACAATGCCTGCACTCTAAAGGAGGGGTTTTGGGATATTAGCAGTTTGGAGGGATATGTTGTGTATCTTTATACGTATATACTTCTAAACTGTTGTGTTCTGAGCACCTCTGCAAAAACAGTGATTACGTGTGAGGTGAAAGTGTTGAATAATGATGAAAATATTTTCTTTTTGGGGATTTTCTTTCTTTTTTGGGTCACCCACCCTGCCTCGGTGGGAGACGGCCAACTTGTTGGAGAAAAGAAAAAAAAAAAATAAAGTTTCTAGTAGTTTTATTTCACCGCCTTTTCTTAAAAGCACATTCTAAACACAGAGTATATTTACTGATCTTAATAAAATATTTTTAAATTAATTTCTGCATCTTTCTTTTTTATATACTGATGGTATTATCTTTACTTTTTTCCCTATTGCTGGTGCCAAAAGCTCTTCTCTATTTCATCATATTTTACTAATTTCTTTTACCTTGTTTTTTCCACTCTACTTTTCTTTTGAAGCTTTTGTATATACCTTATATGTGTATAGCAAAAATTTTAAATTATGTTACTACTATATTTCTATTTTACCCATTCTTTTCAAAATTCTCAAAGGCTCTTCCATAGTAAAGATAAATAAATTTTAATTTTCTCAAAATTTTAAAGCAGTAAGTAAAACTGAAAGGACTGCAAATAAAACATTTCTTTACATTTACATGGCTTAAGAAATAGAGTTCACCACACTTTCCTATTATGGCGATTCAAAAACCATATTTCTAAGTACAGTGGAACTCTGGATTTTGTACTTAATCCATTCCAGAAGGTCGGTCTAAATCCAAAACGTACGAAAACAAAAGTAATATTTCCTGTAAGAAATAATGTAAATCCAATTAATCCATTTCAGACACCCAAAAATATTAAAAAAAAATTTTTTTTATAAAGAATAGTTATTGTGTTGCAGCTCTTCAGTGGTTAGCTCTTCTCTGTGGTTATCCACCAACTCTTCCACATCCTGGTCACTCACATCCAACCCCATGGACTTCCCCAAAGCCACAATAGATTCCACAACAGGAATAGGGATGTCAAGTTTACACTAACTTATATCAAGTTAGTAATAGAATTAGGCATTAAAACACAATAAAAAGTAAAATACATACATAGTACATTCATTACTTACCTTAAAATATTTGTAGTCTTAATATAGGGCAAGAGGTGAGTAGTATTAATTTGCAGTCCCAGACAGACTAGATCCCAGGCAGACTACATCCGCCTGGGTTATACCTACCAGCTACATACACTGTGGCCCACAGCTATATTATTACCATTGACATACCATGTTCACTGAGTTTAATAATTTCTAACAACTACATTTAGATGCCATCATAAACAAAGGGAGAAGTAACGAATAATTCAAGCCGAGAATGGTAAACAAAAGTGTTATGTGAAGTGTATTAAGGGCGGTGACTGGGCCATGCGCAGATTCATACAGTTTTCTCTAATGCTGGACCAGAGAAAACGTAATGTTTTCCCTCCACCAAGTCACCCCTTGATAGTACAAACACTGCATGTTTATATGCTATGTAACGTGTTTCTTGTATAATTTTGAAGAAAATATCATAGATGGATTAATGAAAATGTCTATATTAACCTAAAATAAAACATTTAATGTGCCCAAGAGCGAGTTACGAATGTGGCCCAGGGGGAAGTATCTGATACAGACAATTTCTGGGATGTGGTATGAAATCCAGACTAAAATTTCACCCAAAAAAGTGGTCTAAATACGAAACGTATGATATTCAGTGTGTATAAAATCTGGAGTTCCACTGTATAACATAGAAGCTACTAGAGTAGAACTACCAATATATGAAGATATCCTTCTCTATTAACCAGCAATTTGTCTTGCTGCAATAATGTAAAAATGAATAGCATAAGAAAGTAATACATCTTGTCATATAGCATTTCTACTGTAACTAATTTACGTAGCTTGCTGTATCTTCATCTCTGTTCAATCACTCCACAAAACTAAAGAGCAACGAATCAGTTTTCAAATAATAAGTCTCACTTTTTGAAAATTGTACCATTTGTTCATTAGCAACCTTTCTTATTGTGCATATGATTGTAGCAAAACTGTATAAGAAATCCTACCAAATTAATCTATGTCTAAGTCTTAAGAAACCCTTTTTTTTGCATACTAGTGGCTTTATTTTGTGCTACCAGTTTTATTACATGTAAACCACAATATTTGTAACACAAAGAATAAAAATTGTAGTGTATCTATGTAAGCAATTAGTTATTAGCAGCTACAGGAACAGAGCTAATTTCATGGTGTCCAATCTTCAGTACTTAGTTTAGTTGAAGTTTTTAAAGCTTCCAATGGTTGCAGAACTCAATTCTTACTCTTGTAAACCATCCTATTTGCAAAAGGACACTAGAATGTTTTTTTTTATTTACCCCAGTACTACAGCAGTAGATGAATGGATAGTTATAATAGGCAAGTAGCTAGAGCTGTAGCCACCTGAATATTTTTAATCCCATTAATTTATTTCCAATGTAATTTATTTCTAGTAATTTATTCCCAATGTAGCAAAATTTTGAAAAGGAAGAGAATCAGACATTTTGAAGCATATTTTTTTAACAGAATTATGAAAACAAAATGCAATTGGACAAACTTAAAGTTTTACAGTTACTGAAGTTGGCAAAAAATGATCACTCGTTGGAAACCATTAGCATGAATGATTTAGCAGTACAGTACTACTTAAAATTTTCCCTATTTATTTATGCCAAATTATGATAGTTTGCTTTTTTTAAATTTTCAGTGTAACAAAATTTTTACCCAGTTTCTTACAATATTAGTATGTTTCAGGTACGTATTTTAGTACTCAAATATGGGAAGATGCACTGTTTGACGCACACATGGAATATACAAAATAAATTGGTAAAAATAATTGTTTTTTCTTATTTCCCTCTGATTGTTTCTATTTTCAAAATACTATGAGGTGCTATGAGAAAGTTCCCAAACTCAAAAAATTTTTCATGCACTTCTGGATGAAATATGGCAGTGGCATAGAACACACTACGCAGAACAATCCTTTGTGAAGTATCATGGTGATTTCCAGTGTGGTTTGATCTTTTTGTTGGGGTCAGACAGGCATTTTGTTGTCAGTGCATTTGCAATATTTTGTGTAACAAAATTTGTAATCTTCAAAAGAAAGAACATCATGTTTTGTAAAATTTTGTTTAAAGCTTAGTAAAATAATAGTGAAACTCAAAATGCTTCAGCAAGCATTCGGCAATGAAGCAATGGATTAGACACAGTGTTCTGAATGGTTTTTCTAAATTTCAAAGCAGGAGAATGTCTGTTGAGGATGTTAAATGTTCCAGTCATCCATCAATCCCAAAAAAACAGATGCCAACATTGAAAAAATGAGGAAGGCAAATTCACAAAGTCATTGTCAGACTATTCAAGACATTGCTAATGTAGTGGAAATGTCTTATGGACTGTGTTGACGCTTTTTGAATGAAATTTGAACGAGGTAATTGGCTGAGAAATCTGTTGGACTCAAGACCATAAAGACCACCCATTTTCAACCCAAAAAAACATCTTTTCATACCCCAACCCCTCCTAATCCCCAGATCAAGCCCCCCCCCTGTGACTTCTTTCTGTTCCCAAAAAATAAAATGGCACTCGAAGGGTGGAGTTTTTAATGATGCGTAGGAAATTCAAGCAGAATCACTGGCCCGTGCTAAATGCTGTTAGAAAGAAGGGTTCCAGAAATTTTTCAAGAAGTGATAGAGGTGCTAGGTTCAGTGTATAACCTCTCAAGGAGAGTACTTTGATGGAAAGAACTTAACTAGGTGATCAGGTAAGCCTATGTATATTTTTTCAAGACAGTCCAGGAACTTTTCAATAGAACTTCATATGTACATGGAAATCTTATGATACGTATTACAACTGTTTCAAGGTGTGAACCCTTCAAAACATGGAAAATAAGTCACAGTCTTGGGCTATTCTGGGTTATATCTACACAATGTATCTTTATGTGCCATCAAAAACCCCTGTAGAAAAAATATATTTTATCGGTTAAGTACACAAAAAATTTTTACTTACATACATACATACAGCGTGGCTATCACCCCACTTTGATTACATGTGATGAAGAGGCATTGTTACCCATGCTAGATGAGACAAGGTGGTTAGGACAAACCCAAAAAGGTGAACTAAGGCATTAAATGGGGGGGCAGCAAATTTGAAGGCATGACAAGTATGCATTTAAAATTTTCCTGGGACAAAATTTTGGTTCCCCTGTTTTAAATTCACATCAGACACTGGTTTTAAAAAGTTCTCTCTATGTTAAACTTAATACTGAAGACATGACACCATAAGCTCATCTCAGTCTATGTAGCTACAAGTATGAAATCCTCCCCCCACTGTATAATAATTGTAATACAATGACTCATCTCACTAATGTACATTACCTAGTTCTCAACTCTTAAACAGTATTTAGTGAAATTATAATCAGTTCAAGTCAAGTAAATGCTTAAAGAAACACATACAGAATTTAACTCCCATGTATGCCCTGCTGAAATTATGTCACTTGTTCCACCATGGCCACCTGTACTCTTAAGTGAAGACTTCCTCTTCAACATACAGCAACTTCACTTTTCTCCCATCACTCAATACATAAATTCTTCTATTTTCAGATTTTTTAAAATACTTCAGATTTCTCTTTCAAAATGCAACAGTAATTTAAAGTTCTCTGAAGACACTAGTTAACATTTTTCCCAAAGTGTGAACTTTTTCAAAATCAACATGTAAAATGCACATTTACTTTTGTGTATTCACAACAAGAAATATTAATATAAAAATTATTTCTCTTGTTCACAACTGCAAAAATCCCATTAATTATGCATATCCCATGGAAATAAGTATTGAAAATCTTTAGACAAAACAAATAATCTGGACTTTACCTGATGCTCTACTGAGATTGGCAGATCTCTCTGCAGATAAAGAACGTCCTACAGATGCATCACGATCCATAGACGTGTCTCTAGCACTTGGATCAACACTTTTGGATCGCACTTTAGAACGACTAAATCTTTTCTTTAGTGTACCAAAGAAAGAATCTCGTTTACGGTGGCTGCCTCTACTTCTACCTCTTTCTGTTGGTTAGTGAAGAGCATTAATTTAATTTTTAACTAAAAATGTACCTATTTCAATAAGCTATAGCAAATGACTCGCATTACAAGTTTTATGAATATGCAATACAGAAAGGCAATAAATGTTTTAACTTCAGGATTTCATTAATTAAAGCTTAAGTTTAAACTGAAATGCAGAGACTAATTCAAATAGTTACCATCAGTTTCATTGGGCTCTGTTCCATCAACATTTGTTGTATTGGTAGAGGTGGATATGGTGGTTGTGGGAGTTGTTGGCATTAAACTGGTGGTCGTTCCTATGTCATGAGTGGGTGTGGTGGTAATAGTAGGGGTTGTAGTGGTAGCCGTAGTAGTGAGTGCAGTCAAGTCTTGTACGGGTAATGCAGGAAGATACTCCTCATCTGGCTGTGAGTAAATTAGTATTAAAAATATATTGTACTATGTCATTATGAACATGCACTTCATCCATATTGAATAATTCAAACAAGTAAAAATAGCCATACTGAAAGTAACGTCCTTAACTGAACACCAGGGTGGAGCCTTTTTACACTTTTTTTTTTCTTAAAGTAATAGAACAGAAAAATGGCACACTCATGTCAAAAAAATAACTTGTATAATATCATGGAATTCTGCAATATCTTCTACCACCACCAGAGAGTTGAAATTGAAAAAAAAAAAAAAAATGTGCTTTTTTCTTAAAATTTAAATTACATATTGCATTACAATTGATTGTAACAAAGAACAGAATCCTAATGATATATCTTACTAGGTTAAAATCCCAGTCACCTGCAATTATATCTTCTGCCATGGCCAGTAGGTTGAAACTTCGTACAAAACTTCAAACTTCTCATTTTAAAACAAATGCAATTTTCATCATGCTTCATTTTAATAGCAAGAAATAGCATTTTAAAGATGTATGTATATACATACACACACACATACATTGACACACATGTCCATACACATCCACATATAGTATATACAGTATCTTATATACTGCTTTCATGCTCTGCCCTTTTCAAAACAGGATTAACGACTTTCTAAAATCTTCCTCAAACATTATAATTACTGACCATGTCAACATCCTCGGTGTAGCAGCAGTTTATATTAACATTTGCCAAAGAATTCTACATGACAAAGTTCACTGCCCCCTACATGCAGCTTTTTTTTCATTTGCATGCAATAAGAAAGAGGGCTGTCAATATAAGGAGTGTTGTCCCAGTGCACATAAACAAGAAGAAAGAAAGTATAAGATTAAAGTGTAAGAGTAGAAGCAGAAACTAAAAATGAGAGCTGGAAGAATAATGGTCACTGACAGGTCAGTGGAAATACTGATCAACTTTTTACCCAAAGCAAAAAAAGTTTTAAATACATAACCATACAATTTATAGAATAAAATAATACTAGCAAAGTCAATAGAATGCATTATCATGTGTGAAAGCATATTACAAAAATTCTGCGCTGGGAGAGAGAAGCATATCTTATATTAGAACAGTGTCAAATACTGGCCTCCCTGGCTTTGCGTGAGGGACATATTCCCCGAAATAGCTGTGCAAAACAAATGCACACAAATACATATTTATGTGGTAATAAAGGAATGCACTGCAAACCCTAGTTCCTTCCTAAATTGAAATCGAGTAATTATATTTACCATGAAGATAAGGACACAAGTTGATAGATATTATGACATTTTATAATGTTGCACAATGATGACTTGCATGGAAAAGTATCTATTTATACAATACATTCTGTTAAATATAAATCTATAGGGGAAGGAAGGCGGGGTAGGGGTCGTCCTCGAAAGGGTTGGAGAGAGGGGGTAAAGGAGGTTTTGTGGGCAAGGGGCTTGGACTTCCAGCAAGCGTGCGTGAGCGTGTTAGATAGGAGTGAATGGAGACGAATGGTACTTGGGACCTGACGATCTGTTGGAGTGTGAGCAGGGTAATATTTAGTGAAGGGATTCAGGGAAACCGGTTATTTTCATATAGTCGGACTTGAGTCCTGGAAATGGGAAGTACAATGCCTGCCCTTTAAAGAGGGGTTTTGGATATTGGCAGTTTGGAGGGATATGTTGTGTATCTTCATATGTGTATGCTTCTAGACTGTTGTATTCTGAGCACCTCTGCAAAAACAGTGATAATGTGCGAGTGTGGTGAAAGTGTTGAATGATGATGAAAGTATTTTCTTTTTGGGGATTTTCTTTCTTTTTTGGGTCACCCTGCCTCGGTGGGAGACGGCCGACTTGTTGAAAAAAAAAAAAAAAAAAATTCTGTTAAATAAAATAAAATAACTGATTTCATGCTAACTTAAAATTAAGAATAACTTAAAGCTAACTTAAAATTACACTGATAAGCTCAAGTTTGATTATGTGAATGTTAAGGCTGGTATAACATACATACCTGAGCATAAGATTATTAATACAACTTTGTCTTTTGTTAATATAAATGAACAGTAACACAAAATAATACTGACAGTTTAATTTAGGTTGTATGACATAGATAGGAGAAGAAGTGCATGTATATGCACTCAGAACAGTCAGGTAGCAATAAGTAAATTTGCCGAACAAAATCAAACTTCGTGATTCACATCAAATTCAGTTTTTTTTTTAACTATCTTTTGAAACCAATGGCAAAGAGGGGTCTTCTAGAAGATTCTGGTAGTTAGTGCCCTATTTCTGGACCTTTTATGTTTATGAACTCTACTTAGGCTAAGTCAAATATATGGGATGTCAGGGATCATCTTATTTCAAACAACTAATTTTGAAGAATATCAGCAAAACTTCAGTAAATGTTAAGAAGTGAACACCTAATAATTAATACCATGACAGCCAACCCAGTGAGAGTTTAGGGTGTGGGCATAGGGGTACAGGAGGGCCCTGCTTATATAGCAAGTAAGGTTTCGGGCTACTGCTATAAAGCAAAAATCGCAGTAAAGTGAAACAAATCCTTTTTTTCACTTTCAAATTCACATAAAAGCCTGATAACATATTTACACTATCATATATTGAGTAAGCAATAGAGCTGGGCCTAAAAAATGCCCATACAGTACACATATTACTTACCTTGAAATATTTTCGTCCTTAGCTTATAGTGAGAGGTAAATGTATATTTTTTGTAGGAAATCTGAATAAATGAAGAATGGGAATAACTGAAAACTGTTGCATTAGCGAAATGCTGCAAAGCAGGGCCCTTCTGTATAAGGAAAAGGAATGGGGAGAAATTAGATAAACTTTTTCTTTTTTTTTAACAAGTCGGCCATCTCCCACCAAGGCAGGGTGACCCAAAAAGAAAGAAAATCCTCAAAAAGAAAATACTTTCATCATCATTCAACACTTTCACCTCACTCACACATAATCACTACTTTTGCAGAGGTGCTCGGAATACAACAGTTTAGAAGCATATACGTATAAAGATACACAACATATCCCACCAAACTCCCACTATTCCAAATCCCTCCTTTAAAGTGCAGGCACTGTGCTTCCCATTTCCAGGACTCAAGTCCAGTTATATAAAAATAACTGGTTTCCGTGAATCCCTTCACTAAATATTATCCTGCTCACACTCCAACAGCTCGTCAGGTCCCAAATACCATTCGTCTCCATTCACTCCTTCTAACACACTCTGCACCGCTGCGGGAAGACCAAGCCTCCTCGCCCACAAAACCTCCCTTTACCCCCACCCTCCAACCTCCTTCCCCTACAGATTTATACACACTCCATGTCATTCTACTTGATCCATTCTCCCTAAATGACCAAACCCTGCCTAGACAACCCCTCTTCAGCCCTCTGACTAATACTTTCATTAACTCCACACCTCCTAATTTCCACACTCTGAATTTTCTGCATAATATTTACACCACACATTTCCCTTGGACGGACATCTCCACTGCCTCCAACCGCCCCCTCGCTGCAGCATTTACAACCCAGGCTTCAAAACCCATATAAGAGTGTTCGTACTACAAATACTTTTCATACATTCCCAGGGAGGCACTACCATCCTGCCAAGCGAGTGTAAATTGAAAGCCTGTAATTGTTTTACAGGGATGGAGGATTGCTGGTGTCTTTTGTCTGTCTCATAAATATGCAAGTTTTACAGGTACGTCTTGCTACTTCTACTTACACTTACGTCGCACTACACATACATGTACACGTTTATTTATACATGCTCATCTGAGTTTCTTTGATTTTATCTTAACAGTTCTTGTTCTTATTATTTTACCTTTTATATCCATGGGGAAGTGGAATAAGAATCTTCCCTCTGTAAGACATGCGTGTTCCCAAAAGTCAACTAAAATGCCGGGAACAATGGGCTAGAAAACCCTTTTTTTTCCTGTAATAATTACTAAAAAGAATAAGAAAATAGATAAACATATAGCCATTAAATTCAACAGCTTTTTAACACAAATTACGGGAATCAGGAGCTGTTATCTTTACATCAGCTCATTTCAAAGCCCTGACCTATCTAACATATCCTACTACCTTTCCCTAGGATGTCACTCACATCAGTTTGCTAAGTTTCCCATGTACTGTACTAGGAGAGCGGGTGCAACAGGTGTAAGGATACATGCTCAACAGCTACACCCTTTTGAAGAGTTTCGAGAGTTTATCTACTCTCGGAGCCTGGTCAAGCAGGCTGTTGCTGGCGGAGGGCAGCTGCCCCACATATCTATCACAGCCTGCTTGATCTGAACATGGTGAAGAGACTTGTCCAGTTTCCTCTTGAAGGCTTCTACACTTGTTCCAGCCGTGTTTCTGATATCTTCGGGTAAGTGTTGAATAGTCTGGGACCCCAGATGTTGATACAGTGTCCCAACCACACTCCTGCGCCTCACGGGGTTTTATTTTACACTTCCCCCCATATCTCTCATTCCAGTATGTTATGGCAGTGCCCAGATTTGGGCCCCAGGACCTAGAGTATTTTCCGGGAAATATATTTGTTTGCATCTCTCTCTCCTCCACTCCAATGGGGACTTATTAAAGACTGAAGGCTTTCCCCAGTATTTTTGTGCTTTACTGGCTCAATGTGAGCGCAAACAATCTCTGTATTTGTTCCAGCTCCAAATTTCTCCTGCTTTGAATGGGGCTGTCAGCACTGAGCAATATTCTATGTGAGGGAGCACTAGTTCATTCATTCATTAGGGATTTTCCGGTACTTCCGGCCCAGGTCTTCCCCAGATGGCGACTGGCGGGGAGCACTAGTGATTGAATAGTGTCACCATCGTTATTATTTCCCTTATTTGAAAGTTCTCAATACCCACCCTGTCATCTTCCTGGCTGTCATAAATCTTTGTCTTGTTAGGGTCTTTAAAGAAAGGTCAGCTGACATAATTATTCCCAGGTCTTTTACATGTTTCCTTACATTCAATTTGGTGACCTCTGAGTTTTGTATATAGTGTTCCTTTTGAGT